ACAAAAAACTTCAATGGAGCTATGGATTATATGTGGGTGAGAAGTCATTCACATTGAAGTCTATGTTGTGTTTTATTGGTGCAAGAACTTGCTGCTGCAGACAATGTTGGTGCAACATTTAGCTGGTCCTACTTGTCCGACATGTGTGTCTGTCTCACACCCACACCCAGGTAGACCCACTTAGAGACAGATACTCAAACCAGGCTGATGTAAAAGATAGCCCTGATCATGTGTGTATGTGTTGGTGTGCCTGTCTCTAATTAAATAAAACTCTGAGTCAATATATAACCAACACAATATCAAGCTGAACTGATACCATTGTCACATCTTGGTATCTCTCCTTTTCACTGGAAACCCATCTTGCTTTGCTTCTCGCTGTCTTTCCTCCTTTCTCTTTCTTCCTCTCCTATACGCTCCAGTGTGTTTTGATTATTGGCTGTGTGTGTGTGTGTGTGTGTGTGTGTGTGTGTGTGTGTACTTGGAAATAAAGCAGGATGGGCATTTTTGGGGGGAAGAAGGATCACAGATGGGCCTTGTCAAATCTCTGTACATCTGGCTTTGTTCCTGTCCAATTTCACATAACACACACACACACACCCACACACATATATTTTTGCAGTATACCCTGTCTCACTTGTGATTACTTATACAACAGTTTGCGTACAGTATATGCACATTTACACTTTTGCTTAACCATGCATGCACGGACAGGGACCCACTACAATAATTCACACACACTGGCACTTAGAGACATTTTCAAACACACGCACACACACTGAAGCACTCTGCAGCAGGACGCAGCGGGTATGGAATCCTATTTTGGAAGTAATGATGCCAGGTAATCTGGACCATGCCAAGTTTAATAGTAGCCAATTGCATAATAGTGTTTGGATGCCAGATTTCAAAGGGCCAACCCTGACTTGTGTTTTTATTATTTAAGTTCACGATAACGCTGTCAGGATTTTTTTGTTTTTTACTATTTTGACTACAGCAAATGCTTACATTTTCAGATTGCTAACATAACAAGCAACCAAGGCTCAACATCAACAGCAAGTAGATAAAAGACTAAAGAAAACATTCCACTAATATGTTTGAAAATCATCATAATAATAAATAAATAAAATAAATATGACCTGAGATAAAGCGGAGACATTTGTTCCTAATATTTATACAATGTTAATTCCATCCAACCTTTGCCTGCATGTGAAAGATTTGTGTGTGTGTGTGTGTGTGTGTGTGTTTGCCTGTTTGTGTGTATCAGCTGTTCGAAGTCCCTGTCCGGGATTGGGACATATGCTTCATAAGACTCCTGTGGACACACAGACACACATGCAGGCTTTTGCACCTCAAGGACACCCATAAATATTAAAAGAAAAAAAACTATGGGTTACTGAGGCTAATGTGCTGATGTGTTTTAACCACATGACCTATCTGTCTATCAACAGTGGATGATTACAAACTGCATTTAAAAAATTCGCTCTGGCTACATTTCAACCAGCCTTTTTTGCATGTGACTTTCAACCGCTCAATATTCATGATATGCTCCAAAACATGAAGTGTCCATGACCTTGCAGGCATAAATGTGCATAATGTCGACTTTTGATCTATACACAAACTTTGGCACCAAAAAGGATTTTATAACCCTTCGTTGGATGTTTTATTTTATTAAAGAATGGAGGAAGCCAATTAAGCTGAATATTTTACCACACTGTTAATATGAAAGAAACGTGTCTTCTTGTGACCCTAAAAACTCTTAGCCTCTTACGGCACATGAACACACATATAACACTCTGTATAATCACACAATTTAACATAGAAACTTTCTTCTTCTTCTTCTCAGTTTTTGTTCCCTTTGTCAGCATCCATCATAACTTTCCAATCAACATTGTGTACTGAAGACTGTTAAGTACCCAATGTTGGTGCAGGTGGACATATTCATCTATTCAAAAAGTTTAATTGAATTCTTCAGTGACAAAGATTCACCCACAGACAACTTGGTGTCATTTGTAGTGAAGTTTATGCAGTCCTCTTGTGTAACATAAAAATGCCAGTATTTTACAATCTGTCACACTGTACTATGTGTTCACTTTCCCCCCGTCTTCTCCCTCTCTTTGTCCCTTTTTTCGTCTCACTCCATTTAGTTCCTCCTTTTCCTCTGTCTCACTGTTCTTTGCTTCATGCCTCTTTGTGTTTCTCTTTCCATGCCCACCCCGTCTTTCTATTTTACTCTCTCCTTTTTTCCTTTCTTTCTCATGCTAAACTCCTCCTTACTTGCCCACACACCATAACCAAATCAGCCTGCTTATTCATGTTGCACTGAGGTATCACTTTATTTCTTTGCTGTTATTTTTTTGTGAAGTCGCATCAGTATGACTTGCCCCAGACAGCGCTATGCTGTCCCACCCTCATTATATTTTCACACTCCGCTACCCTAGGACACATGGAAACACACACACACACACACACACACACACACACACACACACACACACACACACATACTTTTGTATGTGTGTTTTGTTTGTGCCAGGGCTGGTTCCTTGTTCCTGATTCTATTTTTCTATATTAAAATGCACTTCTTTAAAATTGTTCTCTGTGGCAGTAGCCATTTAAAGTATTCATGTTCTCTAAATGATTTGTCTACAGTATGGTCAGTTGAAAGCCTGGTGCCTATAGACTACAGGAATAACATGTATAGATTTCAAACATAGAGGTAGTTCCCCTTTAAAGCCCCCGAAGACTTGACTTTAAATCTCAAGTCTTATTCTGTACCATGGAATATTCACGACTTAATAAGCAACATTCAAAATAAAAAGACCATCATCTGATTCATAATGGGCTAAATCCTGATTGGTTCACAGAAGTAGATAATCTTTTCCAACTGAGGCCCCGTCCACTTCAAGCCAGTGAGAAAAGCACTAATAGAAAAAGACAGAAATCTCCAATGTGAAATAAACAAAACTGTTCTAACTTTGGCAGCAAATATAGTGTGTTAATGTTGGATCCTGTCACTCATAATAAGATGATTAAAAAAGGGGCCTTAAGTGCAAACAATTTAACTATGAGAAACTGAATATAATTAATTGTGGCTCCTGTTTAGCTAACATCAAATAGTTTACAATAAGTGATCAGTTTGGTGGTTCAGTGCAAGCACAATATAATGCTGACAAGCCAAACAGCGGATGAATAACAAATCGTAAGTGATGGAGGATAAGGCGTAGGGATCAAAACTTACTCCCATCACAGCGCAGTCATTGTAACCCTTGTCCTCTTTGGAAATGAGATACTGCTCCAAAACCGGTAATCCCAGGCTCTAAACTCCCAATCTTTGTGAAATGTCTGATAAATACACCAGGAAATGAATAAAAACTGAATGTAAAAATATGGAAATAAACTGCAGAGCAATGTGTCATTTTTGATATATGCTGGTGTAATGCCTATAGAATAGGGATTTAAAAAAAGTGATGCATTAATGTAGAGCCCTGTGTGATGCCGAGTCGATCGACTGAGAGCTAATGTGTTCGTACTCACTTCTCCTTGCGCAGAAACACCATGCACTGTGGTGTATGTGTTGTAATGCATGCATGACAATGTGAAAAAGCTGATAGATGTGTCTGTGTTTAGATCAATTTGTGTATGCAATAAAAATGCATTTCACAGGTCAGTGAGTCTCGGATTTACACGAGTTATGTTTGTTGACTTGACTTTATTAGATCATTTGGATGTTTTGGATTTCAGATAGAAATGACACAGTTAGCTTTACATGTTTTAGCCATAGGTTTTTCATTAGTTATCTGTTTTATGAAAGGGATGTTTGTTGTTGATGATTATATTGAAATTAATCTTTTTCCTCTCTTTTTCTCCTCCCTTCCCCTTTTCATCTTTCTCCGTTAACCTATTGCTTTTTTCTTTTACTCTATTATTTTTTTTCATGTTTTCCGCTCGCCTCTCTTTCGCCTTCCCTGCTCAGTGTCTGCCAGCCAAGCAGGAGCAGCAGGAGTTGGACCAGGGGGAGGGCCGGACTCCTACCAGCCCCGTTTCAGCTCCTCCGTCCCCACCTACCTCCCCGTCCAATGCCAGCTCAGTGGTGCAGACTCCTCCTTCTTTCTGCGGGAATCCAATCAGGATGTTATGCGAAATGGCAGCCTATCATCTCGGACTGAGCCCTTCTTCCTCCAGCAACTTGAACCAGACGTTGCCGCCCAACAATCCCTGCCGAGCGTCAATTGCAGCTACGGAAACCTGAGCATTGAGCAGCCAATCCCAGTGGAGCTGCTTCAGGGTCCTCCACCGCATCTGCTGCTGACAACCAACCAGGTGACTCTGAACTGGAAGGTCAAAGGTCAAGTAGTGGTGCCCAAAGTTGGTTCAACACGGCCTTGGATACAGGTACTGGCAGTTTAATGTTTTACTTTGAATATAATTGATTTTTCCGCATAAATCTTCTAATGCCATTAAATAATGGTTTAGGCTTCCCATATACCTAATATGCCAATCCCATACATTAAGCATGACCGAATTGAGAGGTAACTAATAAATGGATTTAATCTATAAATTTATCATATCTATTCAATCTTCATATAATCATTATTGACTTCTTGAAGCTTTTTCTTTGGCTGATAAAAAAGTGAGAGTTAAGAGATGAAAGACTAGAAAACGCTCTGTGGAGCTGTGGGGTCGGGTGACGATTCCCCCTGTGGGTTTGTCACTACGAGTGACACCTTTCACATTACACACAGTCATTTGATCGTTTGTTGATGTAAATACAGTGATTAGTGCTGCTCAGTGCTTGTTCAAGAAATATTTCTGAACAGAGAGAAAGAAGACGAAAGTGTTTTAATGAACAGTTTTCTTTGCCATTCTGTGCGTTTAGGTGTTTAAACATGATTAATAATTTCAACTGTCAATCACAGTGTCAGAAAGAGATTTTTTTTATAGCTGTCCTGCTAATTTACCCATTTTGACATGATCATTATCTGCACTTGTTTTGTCCTCAGGTACTGTTTTATCTGGTGGGGCGGCGTTGGGATGAGCAGGACCCGCCTCCTCAAGCCCTCCTCCCATGTGTCAGAGCCATGGCCATCCGTGACACTAGTGAAGCAGCACCCTCGGCGGGCTGCCGACTCGTGGGACCATCTGGCATCTGTGTTGTCCGTCTGGAGATTCCCCCAGCTTGGTTTACACCTCCACAAGTGAGAAAAAGACCTCCTGAAGTGACTCTACCATTACTGGATGTGTATTACTCAATCATACCAGTGGAAGGGGCTGGTCAAGAGTGTCCCTCCATTGTTAATGAGCCATGGAGAGGTCAGAGTGCAAACGTCGGGCCTCTTGGCAGCCTGGGCATGGGTCTCGGGGGACAGTGGAGCCCCCTAGTGGATGGAGGTCTTCAGGACATGCTGAAAGCTGGTTCTGTGGTAATGACCATGGGCCCGGTTTCTGCCAAAGGAGAAAAATTGAGACTTGATGAAAATGTGGAGGTTCTGGTGCCTCCCAGCCCGGTTCGGCTCGGCAAGACGGTGGCGTTTGGCGTCTACATGAAGACGGGTTCAAACACGCAACAGTTTACGTTAAGGTGGGAACACAAATGCCATTTATCTGGCTTCAATCTCATTTGGTATTCTGTTCTCTTTTTGACTCATTTAAATTTTTCTTCGGTTTCTCTCTTATTCTTTTTCTATATCATCTTATTTCTTTCCTCCTCATCTGCTGTCTCATCTCTCACTGCCGCCTCCCGAGGTTGATGGCTGTCACCTTTGTGTACTCAGCCTCTTTCAGGAGCCAGCAATGCAAATAACAACCTCATGAATATTCATGTTTGATCCAAGGAGAGAGGAAAACACAGAGAATGTGAATCGTGAGAGGGAAATGGTGACTGAGAGGGACTGAAGGGGAAATGAAAGAAGGCGCATTCAATTAGAGTAGATCCTGGTTTCTCAAACTAAATGGTGGTGCCCAAAATGCCTCTGAGGTGTGCTTTAAGAGGTCACCTACATGGTTTCCCACATAATCGGAATTGTGTTTTCATGCGCTTGTATCTCAAGAAACAAATTTATTTTTGGTTGGCTGGCTGAAAATGAGTTTACAACCTGTGATCTAAGCTAAGCATGCATATCTGCATCCCATCTCTGCCTCATCATTTCACTGACTTTAGGGATTTCAGGCTGACAAATGACAGATTTATCATCTTTCACTATGTATTATTCTGTTCGGAGAACATCCTAGCACACAATACCTTGGCTGGAAATAGCATCGCAATAACAATATACTCCTATGAGGTTAGAATTATGGAAACAGTCTTCGAGAGCAAATCACAGCAACTTTGAATACATTTTTCAGTGTTTCAGTCTAACATTCACTATCGACTCCCCTTTTCACATGAGCCTTTAACAAGATCATTTTCGCAATGTCAAAGGAATAGTCTTTACATATTGTAAGCGGCACATTTATGCCGCTAAAAATATTTTGAAACGCTAAAATTATACCTTTCCAATAATACATGTGGGACCAGGAAGGACGTAATATACTTTATGTAAAATTATTTACATCACCACAGTTGTGTATTTGTTTGTGCGCAATCATTCCTGAGGTCACCTGAGGACAGTGGAGGAAAAGAACAAGTGGCTAGACTGCACTGCACCTAGTCGCACTACCTGCTGATGAAATTCACACACACACAGACACACACACACACATTCAAGAAGGAGGGAAATAAATACGCACACAATTTCTCTGTGCCATGTATAGCACACATACTTCTTCACAGTACAAGCGCACACACAGATGCACTGTACACTTGTTTGCCGTGTCTTATCTGTGTGCATATTAAGCACACACACACACACTTACAAACACACATATAACTGATGAGGTGGCCTCTTTGGTTCCCCCTACAGACACTTAGTCTCTGTCTTTGTTGTACAACACCCCTGCTGTGTGTGTGTGTGTGTGTGTGTGTGTGTGTGTGTGTGTGTGTGTGTGTGTGTGTGTGTGTGTGTTTGCATGTGTGTGCTATACTGCTACAGGAAGATAGTGGAGCTCCTGCTCTATTTTATTCTATTCTCTTACTACATTTCTCAGTCTGATGCAACAGGTGTCCACCCATGTGTCCATTTTGAAGAATGACTATTTAAAAAAAGCTCTTAGCATCTTAGTATTGAGCTTATCTTTCATTTGCATCTGAGGTGTCTGTGTGTCTGTGTGTGTGTGTGTGAGTGTGTGTGTGCGTGCGTGCGTGCGTGCACTCCCGTCCTAACTGCGGCTCTTGCCCTCTGCTCTATAGCATACAGCCCACGGATAATCTCCCATGTTAGAAGCACAGTCAGACATGTAATAAGGCTTAAGTGGATCTCATTCCTGTGTGAGTGTGCTCATATGTGAAGTGTGTGTGTGTATGTGTGAGACGCATAATAAGCCGTAAGTGTGCTCCATCACACTGAGGTGATGTGATTACGATAAACTACTGAAGAGATGGGGGGACACGGAGAGAGGACGAGCGAGAGAGACAGACAGAGACAGGAAGTAAAGGGGAGAGAGGGCCTAAAAAAAAGTGGAGAAAAGGGAGAGACCGTAACATAGACGAGTGAGGAAGAGAAGGGAAACGCTTCTTGCACTTACAGCTCTTCCTCGCTCCTCTGCTCTTCTAAAAGGTAAAGATGCAAGGATGGAGGACTCGAAGCAACACACTTGCCAAATTGGATTGGCTTGAAGTCTGGCGTAACCACATGATTCTGTCACGTTATGATGAGACTACCCCGCCTGCTAAGCAATAGCTGGAACTGTGGTTGTGGATGTCTGAGACATCCGGCACTGATCGAGCCCTCTTCCTCCAATTGAGTCACATTTTCAGTATGAGCCACATCATCGGCTTTGATCACAATTTTTTTGATTTAAAATGTTATCATTTAATTCATTCTAAAGCTGAAGCCCACCACAGTTGTCCCCGGAACAATTCTCTGCTAACACTGACCTTGATTTTGCACAATCGAAAGTCGAATTGAACACATTTTTTTGTGAAATTATCACTGCCCTTCTTTTGTTATTCATATTTCCATAGAGCCAGACATGAAAATAAGATTTTTGAATACATGTTATGTGTTTCGTATTCATCTGTTCATTCATTATCAAACCATCAGAAGTAGGCCATTAGAAAAGATAGTGGCTTTTGTCCTGCTGAAAGAGTTAATCATTTCTCATAGAAAATGGTCAATCCTATATGAAACTAAAGTACAGACCCTTTTTGCAGATAAACACATTGTCTTCACTATTAGTGTTTCTAGCGAATGCACAGTGACTACAGTCTCCAGACATTATAGATTCAGTGCCAGAGTCACAGACTGTGACCAAATGAAAATGATACAGATAGACAATTAAACATGTTTATGGCTGAAAGAACACAGCTGACAGGTGAGACATGTGCTAGATGAGTGTGTAATTGGTTTTTGACACTGGTACTCAAGCTTAGATATTAATAAAAATGCCAAGATAATGAGTCAAACTTAAATGGCTCCCCCGCTCTTTGTGCCGAAGCCAAGATTCATTTTGAAAGGACAAGAGGATGAAATGGACAGACTTAAGAACTACTCAAAAAAAAAAAAAGTGAAGGTGTTTTGTGCTGTTCGTGTAATTCAAGATTTGCTATTGATTTTTATTTATTTTTTAAAGAAAAATGTCATATTTGTCAAAGAGAGGATATTTGTCCAGTTTGATAAATCATCCTCTTAGGGTTACATCAGATTAGATGCAGCTTCTCGATTATTAAACAGGTTTCCAATGCAGACATTCCTGCCATGTTTCCACTTTGCCACACGGTGGAGAATGCGTGTATATATAAATATATTTATATATATAATTATATTATTACTGCATGTCACATTTTCCACTCAAAAGACATATAGGACAAACTCCTCATTGCAACGCTCTTACTCATGCTCTCCAAGATGCAATTCAAGTGGAGCATTCTTAAAGACGACAAAATAATGAGATAATGAGGCCACGAGTATTTAAATGTTGGGGTAGCGGCATGCACGTTAAATATGAATCCGTTTATGGAGCCCCTGATTTGATCTTCATGTTGTCAAAACAAAGAATAAGACTTCTTTCCGCTGTGTCATTGTACATCAAAAAGCACAGGATGACAGCATGTTGGGCGACACAATTTAAAAACCGAGTCCTCCCACCAAAGTACATTCCTGTCAACCATTCTATAAAGGAACAAAATACAGCCCTTATTCCTGTTGTTAATATTTGTAAGCTGTTTTCTGCTGGAAAGTCCACAATATGGCATTAACTCCAAAGGCTAAACGAGCTTCTCTCTTCATGCGTTAATCCGATAGATCAGTTCCTCAGAAAACAAAAGAATTAATCACGATCTCTCATTTTCAACATCATCTTTTGTATCTTCAAAAAGTGGAAAAGAGGGCAACACTTGATGATGAATTCATGCTCTGTGCAGCTCCAGTTCAGTGAGCATTCAACTGAAAGTATTTAATACGGTGCTACAATCTGTGGGAACCTTTTCCATAGACGTTTGCTGCTTTGAATCTATTTTTAGTTGAGCATTTCAGCATTTTTCAGCAGTGGGAATGTTGACAGACTGAGGGTCAAAGTGATTAGTATCACCCTCATTAAAAAGCTGTCATCTTGAACTGGGTGCTATCGTTGTTTAGTTAGTTAATAAGCAAGATGATTACCGACGAGGGAGAACATGGTGTGTGCGTGTCTTTGTGTGTGTGTGTTTGTGCGTGTGTGTGGGAGAGTGTGAGGCATATACTGCAGACATAGAGACTGAGACAGAAAGTATCAAAAGGCAAAAAACATTTTTTTTCCTCTGCTTGTCTCATTTTTCCGTATTTTCTCTCACTCTAACTTTTTTTATGTGACTTGTTGTTATAATAGTCATTTGTTTCAGTATACGGCCTGTATTTATTGTCCAATTCTTTCTTTCTGTGTGTGTGTGTGTGCCCGTCTGTGTGTGTGTGAAGGGATTAGTGGATATTTCCTAAGGTTCAGAGGGGAGATGTACTTCAAAGGACCAGTCCTCTCTGGTGGTTACACGCACACTCCTCTGTGTCACCACACACACACACACACACACCATATACCGAGGACAAATGCTCTTACACCACCAAGGAGGGAGAATCAATTGTTTTTGTGACTATGTGTGTTTGTTTGTGAATGTACAGTATAAGCAGCCTTTCAGTAAGTAAACACATAGCAATTTGTGCAAATGCATTCCTGCACATGTGCTCATCTGCTTCGGTACATATATTCGCATTCATCTGTGTTTTACAACGTGTGTGTGTGTGTGTGTGTGTGTGTTTGTGTTATATATCGTGTTCGGGAATATTATGTGTTCTGTGTGCATCCTGTACTTCATGTTGAGCCGTAGTGTGTGATTTTGTGATGTCGTCTTTGTTTGTCTCTCTGGTTTAGTCTGTCCTCTCTCTTTATGTGTGTCAGTGTCCTTGTTTCTCTGCTGCTCTTTGAGTTGAACCCCTCTAACTGACACATATACTTTATACAATCTTTGAAAGGCGCCGGAGATAAAATGATAATTAGATGCATCCAAATAAT